CAACGCTAAAAAATGCTCAGAATATCGATTAATTAGCCTAATGCTAGACTCTTAAAATTTTTCTAAGTTTGGTAATAGGAATGCTATGAGAACTAATGAGGCACTTTTTGTGCTAAATATATTCCCAGCATAATTCGTTTCACTGCGAGCTGTGTTCCTCTCATTTTGTTTGCAGCTTTTTTGGTCAACGTAACTGTCTCTAAACCGTATGCGTATCACTGTTAAGGCTGCAAGAGTTTCCAATTCCAAGAGATTTATGGGAATAATATTGTTCTTGAGGACACTAACGGGCAGCCCATGTCATGCGGATTCTTCGGTCTACTTCCGCGTGTTAGTTTCCCCTCTTCAAGTTCATTAGATGACCCAAGTAAATATATTCTTCCACTCGTTCTATCACTTCGTCCCCACAGTAACTAGTACTTCCTCCAAAGTAAGAATCTTGGTATTTGTAGATTCATTTTCAAGTCTATCCCTTCTTAAACATTTAATAATTCTGAAAGCATTGTTTGTAGCTGATTGAGTTCGCTACTAATTATGACAACATCGGAGATAACTCGGGTATCTTCCGTCAATGTTTAAACTTTTTGTTCCTAGTTAAACGATCAAAAATATTTACCAAAACAACACAATAAAAGTAAAAGTGGAAGAAAAACTAACCGACCTTATTTAGGCTGGAAATGGGATAAGACAGGGAGATTTCCTAAGTTCTCTATTGTTCAACCTGATTTTGGATGAAATAATAAAAAAAGTAAGAACTGAAAAGGATGCAGACGACGCAATCCTACTCTCTCAAAGTGAACACGATTTACAACGTATGCTGCAAAAATTCAATATAACCACCAGAAAATTAAACATGTTAATTTCCCCAAAAAGACAAAATGTATGGTTTCAACAGCAAATTTACTAAGATTGGAGCTGCAAGAAGATAATAGAACGAGTGATGGAGTTTATATAATTATGTAGACATCACATTATCTAGCTATCGAAAGCTCGAAACTGATGTGAAAGACCAAGTGAATAAAGCAAACGGAGCCGCATTCTGCCTGATTGAAACAATGGAGAAATAAAAATATCGAGAAAGAAATGAAAAGCAGAATTTACAAAACAATCATCAGATTAATAATGACATACGTGGCAGAAATCCGACCTGCCACAGAGAGGACAAAAATGATGTTAGAAACAGCAGAGATTTAGAAAACATTTAGAAAAAGAAAAATTTATGGCAAGACACTATGGGACAGAGCCAGAAGTACAGATATACGACGTAGATGCAAGGTGGAGAACATCAAGAACTGGATAAAAAATAAGAGTAGAATCCAACGATCATATAAGCCGAATGACAACAAATAGAGTAATAAAGACGGCAAGAGACGGTTCCCCAATAGAAAGACGATCAGTAGGAAGACCACCAAAATGATGGAACGACAACTTACTGGAGGCACATTGAAAAATAGACAGACATGTCTACATAAAAAGAACAGGAAGAATAAGAAGCTCCTAGTTAAGCTGCTTGAAAACGTCCTCTATGGCCAATGTGAATAACTTCGCAGAAGTCGTATAACCTTATCTCACTCCTCTCTGAATTTATATTTTGTTAGATTTTTGTTCTCATCAATTTATATTTTTAATGTCGCGTTTACGTATATAAGCTTTAGCAGGTTCTTATACCTCGAGTCTGTCCATCGGTTTGTCGATTGCTTCAAATACGGACCACAGTTCGACTGAATCAAAGGCCCTGGGAGAGTCCACAAAGGCTACGCGTAGTGGAACATTATATTCGTTGTATTTTTCTATCTAGTCTGGTACTTCAATATATCCTAAAGCTAGTGTTGGTAGTCAAGTGAAAAATAAATCCTATCTTCACTGAATTTATTTATTTAATTATTAGATTTATATTCTGAAACATCATTGTTACAATAATAAGTACTTAATGAAGAATCCGTATTTAATATTCCCGTTTTTATGATCTGTAATAATCGTACACACCATTTCGACCCCAGATCTTATGTATTTGAATTTTCCAAGCTTTCATCCTAATAACACCACTAACGAAATAAAAAGACTCGTTTAAAAATCCATACGAATGGCAAATTCTTCATACATTTAGACGAGTTGAATGCGAAGTAATGAAACATCCGTTCTCCCTGATAAAATTCGTGACACGTCATCAACATCTAGTTAATTGGATATTTTTACAGGGATGGCGTCCAAGCCCTTTAGCAGTGTAATATTTGCAGGCTAATGTAAATAAAATAAATGCCAGACGATGTTTATTTTGACCGAAATCACAGCAAATAGTATGAATACGTGTGTGAATGATTTATTTGCACAAAAGAAACATACAATAATGAAATTTTTTGCGTTAAATAAAGAAATACAACAAGTCAACAATACGACAATGAAATTTGACACATTTTAACGAATTAATACAAAGGTATGAGCCATACATGTTTTAATGTATCTGGTACAATTAATGGGAGAATGCAAAGAATACAGTCCAAAGAATGGAAGAGATACATAGGTGATCTTTTTGACGATTCTTTTTGAGAAAATGCTACACATATAAATACCACCTGTGACAACCAGTTAGACAGAGGTTTCTGATATCAGAAGTCAGAAAAGCAATACCATAAAGGACTAGATCAAATATATGCTGAGCTACTTAAACTTTTGGACGAGGAAAACATTTCACTTTTTTCTTTAACAAAATTCACAACGAAGGAAAAATACCAGATGATTGGTTGGAGTCACTGTTTGTCACTATCCAAGAAAAGCAGGTCTGCCAAATGCAGCGATTTTAGACTAATCAGTTTGATGAGCCACACACTTAAAATACTTTTACAAATTATACAAAACTGAGTACTTCTTCTGTGCGAAAGTGGAATGGGCAATAAGCAATTTGGATTTAGAACTGATCTTGGAACTAGGAGGCAATATTTTGTATGCGAATTCTCTTATAAAAAAGCTGTGAGTTCCGAAAGATTATTTATGTTTGCTTCATCGACTTAGAGAATGCATTCAACCGAGTATAATACGGTACACTTTTCGATTTCCTGCCGGCAGCAGGACTTGACCACTGTTAAAATACTAATGCTAACAATCAAGTAGCCTCTATTTAAATTGGAGATAGTCGTACTAAAAACCTACCCATCAAACGTGGAGTTCGACAGGGTTGTGTTTTGTCACCCAGTCTTTTTAATCTATATTCTGAAAAAATCTTTAGGGAGGCTTTGGATGACAGACAAATGGGAGTAAGACTAGATGGAGAAGTAATCAACAATATCAGTTACGCTGACGATACAGCCGTTCTTGCTCAAAGGCAAAGTCGATGGCGGTTGGAAAGATGAAAGATTAACATATATCAAGGTCTACTTTTGCTTAACGGGTAGCAAATAGAACGCGTAAACCATTTTAAATACTTTGGCAGCTAGATGTAAATTATGATTTTGATGAAGAGCTAATAACCAGGATCGAAATATCACGTATAACCTTTATGACCTGGAAACCACTTTTATGTAACAGAAACCTGTGAATGTATATCCTTCCCTGAAATGTTATGTGTGGTCTATCCTATTATATGGTTTTGAGACATGGACACAAAGCTTAACAAATTAGAAGCATTCGAATTGTGGTGCTATCGACGGATCCTAAAAATATGGTGGGTTTCGCACACTTCCAATGAAGATATTCTTAAAATCATGAGTTCGGAATATATGATCATAAACATCATAAAGAGGAGAAGAAGAGAATACTTCGGCCATATAATTAGAGGATCCAGATACCATCTGCTTTGCCTTATAATAAAAGGGAAAGATGAATACGGACACGGCACCTAAAGAAGAAGGTACAATTAATAAGCCTTTGAACAAATTTACTTTGGTGTAAATAATTTTAGTTTGAATTATGAGTTGCAATTAATACAAACAAAAGAACCTGTGTCTCTTGTGAAACATTTTACGTGTGCTTTCATCTTGCAAATATATTCTACGTATTCGCATCGATTGACATTGATGTCTGGAATGTCATTGATGTCTGGAATGTCAGTCGATGGGAAGAAAGAACCTCCCGATTCGCATTATTTTATGCATTATAAGCTTCACTACAAGCTATAGTACATCTCACGTTTTATATTCCGTACAACTTCTTGTGGACTCTTACTAGTCTTCGCATTTTTCAATGATTCTTACCTTTGCATTGTTACCAGTTCCATTTTTTCTCAATCGTGTCAATCTTGTATCAATACTTCTGTGGTATCAGTTATTCAGTTTACCTAACTATACTTTCACCACACTGTTACGCCTTCTTGTTCTTATTATTTATTACATTTTATATTATTTTTCATGATAAGATGAAAATGAGATATAATAAGATATGAGAGTAATTCTTAAAAAAATTAACTTTAAACAAAAAATGAAAGTTTATTGTACTACAAATCAAAAAAATTATTCCAGCTGTATACACCTTTACATATATCCCAGCCATGAAGATTGTTTTAGCTATGAGTCTAACGAGCCCGATTAAATGTAAAATGGGGTGTTTTTATTTGAATCAACAATAACAAACAACATAACCTATTATTGTATTTACACATTGACACAATCATAGGACACAATCATAGACATATAATACCATCTAAGATATGTACATTGATCGTTGCAATACCAGCCCGTTCCCCCAGTGCGACAGAGAAAACTGATGCAAACAGTCCCCGTGCATCTCTTTCTAATTTGCCTGGTTACGTGACGTAAATGACTAATGAGAAAGTCACATGGTCGATAAACCCGGTCCATTAGAGAGAGATGTAGGGACTGCTTTGCGTCAGTTTCTCTGTCGCACTGTGGGGACGCGACTTGTATTACAGCAGTCAGTTAAAAAATTCAGTAAGGTAAAAGAAAGTAATCGAAAGCCATCAAGACTAACTAAAAAGCCGGTAAAGACAGTAATTGATTTAATTAAATATTAAATTAGATAAAAAATTTTATTGTTTTTTTTTTTTTTAGGTGCCGATGTCAATTATACGGCAAAACACAATATCACGCCTCTTCACGTCGCTAGTAAGTGGGGCAAAATTAATATGGTCACTTTATTAGTAGCGAAAGGTGCAGATATTCAAGCGAAGACCAGGGATGGTTTGACTCCATTACATTGTGCAGCTAGAAGTGGACACGATCACGTCGTTGATCTTCTTTTGGAAAATGGAGCTCCCATGCATGCTAAAACAAAGGTAAAACTTTACTTTGTATACTATTTATTATGCTGTTTATGAAATCTTTTTCTTTACTTGAACGTTACACACATATGCGACTACCAAAACAATTAGATATTGCCACTTATAAATTATTTTATAATTTGTAAGTCTCAAATTCCAATCCTGGATGGAAACGGTACAGCTGATTTCAACCAAACTTGATATACTTTGATATAACTTTTCTGTTTACTGCACTGTTATATATCACATAATATTTTTTTCTACTCTTGGCAGCCCGGCGTATACGCATGCGTTGTTAACCTATTAATTTATATGTGCTATACATTAATGTTTTGTTGTGATTAGATTTGATGCTGACAAGTACTATTTATACCATCTGGAAAGAGCCTCTACTAGTCGTTAATAAATAAAAAATATATTGCAAAATTCAAATAGATCACTTTTTACAGGAAATAAAAAGTAAGCAATCTATTACCACTAACCATCAACAACTAACCATCAAAGCTTTCTCATTTAAATATCAATAGGCTACATCTAGACTTCCTTAAATTCATTTTTAATTTTATCTAATTTAAACTCCGTCGATACATTCTCCATTATGTGACATTCAACTTCTTTCTATATCTAAACTAGTCTATTTCTTACCCAGTTCTTAATGTTCTCCACCTTGCATCTACGTCGTGCCTTTTCCATAGGGTCTTAGCATAAATTTTTCTGTGTTTTTATCTCTGCAGTTTCTAAAATTCTTTTAGTCCTCTCTGCGTCAGGTCGTGTTTCTGCCTCGTAAGTCATTATTAGTCTAATGACTGTTTTGTAAATTCTGCCTTTCATTTCTTTCTCGATATTTTATTTCTCCATATTTTTTCATTCAGGCAGCCTGCGGCTCTGTTTGTTCTATTCTTGATCTTCTACTTCAGTTTCGAGCTTTCCGTAGCTAGATAATGTGATGCCTAGCATGCTTAGATATTTAAACTCCATCACTTGTTCTATTATCAAACCTTCCAGCTTCAATTTACATAGTAGTAAATTTGCTAATGTAACCATGCATTTTGTCTTTTTTGGGAAAATTAACATGTTAAATTTTCTAGCTGTTATATTAAATTGGTGTAGCATACGTTGTAAATCGTCTTCACTTTGAGAGAGTCGTCTGCATACGATCCCATTTGATATCCTTTTTTACTTTTTACTTTTTTTATTATTTCATCCCTAATCGAGTTGAACAATAGGGGACTCAGGAAATGTCCCTGTCTTTTCCATTGCCAGCTTCAATAAGGTCGGTTAGTTCTTCTTCTATTTTTACTTTTATTGTGTTGTTCTGGTAGATATTTTCGATCGTTTTGTTGTTTATTCCTAGAGGTATCTCTCTTGCGTACAATAAGTGGATAACGTCTTTTAATTTCATTTGGTCAAATGCCTTCTTGAGATTCACGAAACATAGATATGCCGGTTTGTTGTATTCTAATCATTTCTCTTGCACTTGCCGTATTATAAATATAGCTTCGGTGCATGATCTTTCCGACCCAAAACCTTGTTGTTCTTCTGCTAGTGTTATAATTTCATTCAGTTTATTTGTTATCACTTTGGTTGTTAATTTTAGTGTTGTGTTTACTAAATTAAATTCCACTGCAATTTTCTGGTTCCGGTGTGTCTCCATTTTTGAAGAGAGATATTAGGATGCTTGATCTTCATCTTTGAGGAATTCTGTTTCGTTCCATTATTTTTTGGATTAGTTTTAATAGTTGTCTGGTCAGATCTGGTCCTCCGTATTTTAGGAGTTCGTTCGGTATTCTGTCCTCTCCTGGTGATTTTCTATTTTTTAATTTCCTTAATGCTTCCTTTACCTCTTCTTCCTCCATATTTATTTCTTTGTTTTTCGTCACCTCTGGTGTTGGGTGGTTCATTATTGTCACCTTTAGCAAATAGGGATCGAAAGTACTTTACTCATGTTTCCTTCTGAATGTGTTTTGTTTTTATTAGTTTGTTTAACTTTTTTCTTTTTCCTCTGATCATTCTCAATATTTCTTTTTGTGTTCCGTAGAAGTTGTGTTCCATCTGTTATGAGAAGTTCTGCTGAAACTCTAATATTAGTATTAAAAGGCATTTATTAACAATGACCTGAAGATAAAAGGAGCACTTTACAACCGTCAAAAAAGGAGAAATACAATTTATAATATTTTTGTATACAAGAAAGTTAACAGTGTGGTTATGAACAGTACACCTTTAGAAGAACTTCTTAGCTGTATACAAATTTTGCTGGTCATACCAATGATGTAGATCAATATCAGAAATTTTAATCCCACATATTGTTTCCAACAATATATTTACGGAACTACCGATATTTTTGAAACACGTTGCTCCAACTTCTCAATCTCTAGACATGACTCTTACAGTAATTTTCCTATGTATTTTAATGTATTTTTTTTGTTTCTAGACTTGTATCCTCTTCTCACGTCAATTAGATCTAAAATTTCCTATGTCATCCATTTCTGTTTAACTGTTTCTTAGTAATTATTGCCATTTTCAGCAATCGAGCAATCATTTATGTTGTTAGTATCTTACAGTCTGTCTAGATTTTTGCAGACTATGCCTAACACTAACTGTAGAACAAAGTAGATTATGGTCTCACCGAATATAAGCACCTGTGAACGTTTTGACCAGTTTTAAACAGTTTTTAAATTGCTCAATTACTGTCGTATAACCAAGTTGATGCAATATTATCTTCTGGATCACTTACATACTTCTAAGTATATTATAACCCACGTTTTTGCAGACAAAACCAGATATTCATGATTACAAATTTTTTCTCATGGCAAAACTACACCAAGCCTTCTCCTCTTTCATTTCGTTGTCCTAGACCAAACTTTCTAGTAATATTAAGAGTAGGTTCCATTAATAATGGTATCTTTTTTGTCTACAATATATGCTGGTATTGAATTTATATCCACAGATTTTGCTTACAGTTAGTTTTTTAATGTGAAAAAAGAAATATATCTGATAGTCTTGAGATTTGTAGTGTCCGCTGTTAAACAATTATATTAAATTTATAGAAAGAATTTGTTACTCAAAAAACAGTAATTTATATTAAATATAATTGAGAAACCGTGCGCCAGTTTACCTTTCATGTAGTGCAAATGACAGTTTGGTATTATTTCTAGAAGTATCATGTATTGATGAATTTTTATTATGATCACAACCTTTGTGAAATGTAAACAATCCTGAAATACTGTAAATAGCAATTATTTATTGTATTTCATAAAAAAACAAAATATCAAAAGAACTCAGAACATATGAATTTATAATAATACATTTCTAATAAGAATAACACTATGTATATTAGAACATTTGATAATTCCCTACATGTTCTACTATCCCTACAATATGACATTTACAAATTAATTATAAAGAAAATAATATACATCTAAAATCTCTAAAATTCCTTTTGAATACCTTAAATCCTCTTATTTTTAGTTTAACGCCATTTAATTATTTAATTCTAAGCCTACATTTCTTCAAATCATTATATATTTTTTTATTTATTAAAATATATAATACGGGTAATTTTATTTTAATTAGCTGTAAATTATTCTTAATTTTTTAAGATACCGAATAATAGCAATTATCTCTTTTAGAACGGACTCGCACCTCTACACATGGCAGCTCAAGGAGAACACGTAGACGCAGCTAGAGTTCTTCTCTATCACGGCGCTCCGGTCGACGAAGTAACGGTGGATTATTTGACAGCTCTTCATGTCGCAGCTCATTGTGGTCACGTACGAGTCGCCAAATTGTTATTGGACAGAGGAGCAGATCCGAACGCGAGGGCGCTAAACGGATTTACTCCTCTTCATATAGCTTGTAAGAAGAATAGAATAAAGGTTGTGGAATTACTACTTAAACATGGAGCAAGTAAGTGAATTATGTCAACAAAAGACGAATAGTATGTGAGAGTTTAGAATAATTGAAAACGGTGAGCTATATAAAATGGTTCACAATAATTATATTTCATTTGGATTCTCAATAAAGGAAATAATAATACTGCAATTAAAACTGTAATTTGGATTTGTAATGTGTTCATTTTGAATTGTTTATTCATTAAATAAACGCAGTGTATTCTCGAGCAATGCTCAAGACTAATAACACGAACTAAAATTGCAAACTATCGTACACAACGATTGAAGATATTTTCCATAAAGTCTTAAAAGATATTGCCAAAACTACTAAACACTATGTCGAACGATACAGTGATACAGATAGTTTAAATTTCATAAGAAATATCATGGAAAAAATGTCATCCAAATCAGTAGTCAATTATTCCTCTATATCAATAAAGCAACAAAGCCACTAAATATGAGAATTTGTCAAAAATCCTTCTGGAGGTGACGATTACGAAAACAAACAAACTTCTTTCTTTTTCCTTAGTTTCACACATTATATTACCTTGATTTTGTTGCTGATGACCCTCAAGTCATTTCTGTGTTTTGTCCGTCTATTTAACTTAAGGTCCTACTCCTTTGCATCTGTCGCCTTTCTTCCATATATTAGCTCCGTCACTTTTTACGGAAAATTTTGAAGTTCTTCCTGTTCCCAAGTTTTCACCACAGTTTGTTTCTTCTTTTAATGTATATTCCTTCTGTTTTTGTCGCCAAAGATATATCGACGAAACTAGTCTCTCTCTTCAAAACCAAAAAAATAGGAACAAAGAGTTCTTAAACCTAACTCTTCCCTCTTTCTGCGGTGACCAGACATTATCAAAATCGTATAAAAAACCGTTATTTAATACAGCAAGATGAGAGCAACATCCACCATCCGAAGAAAGAGGACAATGGTCGATAACCCAAAATATGAGTGGTTTCCAACTCGCCTAGGTAAATTTGCCCGGTACCCCTAGACTCTGCCATTCCTTACGGAGTATGTGTCCTTATTTTTAATCCAAGAAAGCTCCCCACCGAGTCGAAGTGTTATTCAGAGTGACTCCTGTACAGTCGACACGTTGTTGTGTGGCTTTAGCGGATCGCTACTTCACCTCTGGTTATATTTAGTAATATTAATTGCTGTAAGTAAATCCCTTCCTTGGCAGTTGGTTTTTGCCTCAGGTGGAGTTTTTCACAGTCCATCTTACTCCTAAAGAATTTAAATATGAGCCGAAGAGACATCAACACACATGGTTTTTCCAAATGATACGGTCAAAAGCTGAGAGACAAGTAGTTGATAATGCAGTTAATATAATGATATTAAACTCAAATAAATTCAATTTTTGACCATTTTAGCGGCTTACAAGTTATTTCTTGGCATTTAGATTCAAAGAGTAGAATTAGAGCATCCCCCATTTTTGATAATTATAGAAGTGAATTACATGTGTTGACTTTTGTAGGTATTGGTGCTACAACAGAAAGTGGTTTGACTCCTCTCCATGTCGCCAGTTTTATGGGATGTATGAATATTGTTATTTATTTATTACAACATGATGCTAGTCCTGACATACCGACTGTTAGGGGCGAAACTCCTTTACATTTGGCTGCTAGAGCGAATCAGGTAAGTCTTAACGCTACTATTATGTTTTCCGACCATTTTATACAATTATGGAAAGTGTTGTCATAGAAACAATGGTCACATTTAACAATTTTTCTTCATGTATCTAAAACTTTTAATATAATATGGGACTTTATTTATAATCATAAAATTTCTCTTTATTATTTTTGCTTTTTATAAAACTGATTTTCCGCAAACTCACACATTTTCTTTAACGTTACTGCAAGGTTACTGCGTCAATATATTTTATTCTCTTTTCTCAATAATTTTTTTTATATGTACCAATATATTTTGATTGAAACTTGTCTTTAGACTAACAGACTATTACTTTGTAATGCAAAATAAAGTTAAATTGCAAATAAAGTGTGATTAAATAAAAAAATGCATTGTACTTTTGCACTAAGCAAAGATTTACTTCTTTTATCACTATCTATTTGTTGTTTTTAGACGGATATTATCAGAATACTTCTCCGAAATGGTGCAGCTGTGGACGCAAAAGCCAGAGAAGAACAGACGCCCCTCCATGTAGCTTCTAGATTGGGAAATGTTGATATTGTTATGCTGTTACTTCAACATGGTGCCCAACCTCAGGCTACAACCAAAGATCTTTACACTCCTTTACATATAGCTGCCAAGGAAGGACAAGAAGAGGTAAGATCTTTTTTTTTTAATTGAAAGAAAAGCAGTCCCAGTTGTAGTCGATGTAATGACTATGAGACCCCGATCACTATGAAAGATGTGTCTTTATTAGACAACGTTTTTTTCTTCGTAGTTGTGATTTTCAATCATAAGCTATTTAATACATTATTTATTTGTTCCATCTATCAGTATTTGGATGCTTGTCTTCTTAAATTTCATCAGAGCACGAAGAGTCTGCCTCTTAAGAGGATAATGCGGTAGATTTACCGAACCCATCCTGAAACTCTCCTCCACACAAATAAAACGTTTGTCAGAAAAATCTGAACTATGGGCTACTATGGGGAACTAATTATACTATATACCAGGGCATCCTATCGCCACACATTGTCCTATCCCATATTTCGATTTCCCCGCGTTCGGTCTCTCCAGTTATATTCATCTATGGCTTTGTTCTTCGATAATTTGTTAATTCCGTCCATTCTATGGTAGGCTTGTGTAGGTCTCTATACACCAGTCTATCTGTAAAAAAATATTGATTTCGTAAAAATTTTATAACAGATATTTAATGTAACTGATGAGACGTTACAGCTGATTTTCAAACTCCTATCGTTTCAAACTATATAATTGACACGGTCAACATTTCTTTTCCATCTTTATTACGTAGTCGTATCACAGTAAATCTATACGCCTTTCTAGACAAAAGTCAAATTTTCTGCATTTATTTCTGCTCTCTTTGCGGTTTTTAGTCAGATTTGTTAATATGACACCAAGTTGTCTCTTTAAGACGTTGTTCCCTTCTTCCTCATCGTCATTGGTATTCATACAACCTTTAATATACTGTTACCAAAGTAAATCGGTACACTCTCCAAAATAAAAGGCAAGTTCACCGCCTTTACAAGAATAGATCTTATAAAAATTCATATTAAACTGTATCAATACCTACCAGTTCTCGTTTTCAACATAACCAGGATTTCCAAGATCGGCGAAATAATCATTCACCTTGTTAAATGTAGAATTTGACAACAGTTCGAGAACCTCGTAGCTGGGAATGTTTTCAGAACTCCTTATTCATCTTTAGGACATTTCCTCGTTACAAGACCAAAAGAAAAACTTGTTTTCTTTAAAACTTCTTAGGTGGTGTAGCTCAGAAATTTAAATCCGAGAATCCACAAAAAGAGCTAAAATTAACTTCCAAAACAACCATTAAATGACGGTTTTCTAAGCACAAAACACTCATAACCAAAATCTCAATTATCACCAATTCTGCAACATAAATTCTTAATAAAAACAATAACTCACATCCGGTGTAACTTCACAAAACTGATACCTTGAAGAATGACATTAAACCTAAATAAACAAGGTACTACCAAACAAAATTCAAATCCTGCATTCTACATACACTTGTCCCATCTAAAAAGAAAATCTGGTCAAGAATTCCTGTAAGTGTTTTATGTTCTATTACTTATCTTTGTGTTTGTTATTGCGTTATTTTAGTTTAATTAATTATGCGAACTAAATTTTTGACTTCAGGATCCAATTATTTTACAATAATCTCTATTTCTTCTTTATTACACATAGAAAAACAATAATAACAAGTTTGACGAAGATATTTTGCCTATACTGCCAAAAAATTTTAATTCCATATTTTTCGAGGTGTATTTCCTTAACCGTCTAAGGCCTTGTTTAAATATTTTAATGTTATGGTTTAGTCTACGATCTTTACAATTTGACATGTTTTAACCTATTAGAAAAATAATATAACCTTACCTAAACATTCATGATTTTTTAGGTTGCTTCAGTTCTTCTAGATAACGGAGCAGACTTGACTGCGACAACTAAAAAAGGATTCACTCCTCTTCATCTTGCCTCGAAATACGGCCATCTCAATGTTGCCAGACTTCTGTTGCAAAGAGACGCTCCCGCCGATGCCCAAGGGAAGAACGGAGTGACTCCTCTACATGTTGCTGCTCATTACGATCATCAACCTGTTGCACTCTTACTGTTGGACAAAGGAGCTTCTCCGCATGCGACTGCTAAAAACGGACATACGCCATTACATATTGCTGCTCGAAAGAATCAAGTAAGGTTTATTAGATTATTTATTGTAAATATTAAAGATAGGTACCTTTATAAGAAGTATTTTTACGAATTATGCTGTATTCTACAAAACTATTGTGGTTTCTTATTCATTCGCTGGAGTGCATGTTAGATAAAGGATCAAAACACAAAAGCACAATACAAGCTGCGAAGATAAGATAATTTATAAGAAGAAAAATAGTATGCATAACAATAGATAGACGTAAAACGAAAGATACGGCCATAACTACGGACACCAAACTACGCCTGGTACAGGCTCTTATCTTTCCTATTGCTACCTACGCTTCAGAAACATGGACCATTAAAAAGTCTGACTGACAACGTATGTGGGTGTCTTTAAAATGTGGGTCTATCGTAGAATGATGCGCATTCCCTGGACAGCGCGAGTCACACACCACACACCACTAGGCTTACCATAATCATCAACCAAAATATATTGAGGTATTTTGGACACACAACTAGACGAAGGGAACGTATGGAGGGATTGGTAGTTGAAGGAAAAGTAGATTGTAAAAGAATTCGAGGAATATTGCCACGTAAAGTTCAAATAAATATACCACAGCACGAAATACTAGGAAAATACCATCCTGGAATACCACGAAAAAGGTGGTCGTAATACGTATGTGGAGTCGGAATACCAAGACAGCAATTCCGTTCCGGTTCGACTGAAATACTGTTCGAAATTTTGCAAAAGCGGACATCTCAGCAACGAATACTCAGAAAAATCATTCACTTGTCCATTCTGTGGACTAGAGCACAGGTCTACTGCATGCTCCACGATATCTCTCCCCAAATGCCCGAACTGTAATGGACCTCATCCCGCCTTCTTACCAAGATGCCCACACCGCAATATACAACCAAAAAACTATAAATAAACCCAACCCGTATACTCTCCTAAACAAATCCCTTCATACGACCTCTCCTGAGATATAAAATCCTTAATCCATTTCACTTCCATGATCCTTTTTAATGTCTTCTCTGAAAAAAAAACGACACTATGCACTATATCAACCAAATAACACTCTATATGGATACACCATAACCACCTCTTATTTTAATAATCTAATAAACCAAACCTTCACCCAACTCCATACATAAATACACAAAACAACACCTACATGCACATCGATATACACATACTAATACCCCACAGACATCATTAAAACATACACTTATCATTTACCCACATACACAATTTACATCCACCTAGCTCACATTCAGAAACACAGAAAAAGCCAACATCACACAGTCAATAACCATACTAACATTCCACATTCATAAACACCTAATCATAACACCAAATAACAAACAGTGAGCACCACACACACTCCTTAAGAGTCAAATTCAAATCACAAGTACAGGGGGAGATTGGTGTTCTGTGGTTTCCCAATCTCATTACACAACGATACCTGATCCTAGGTGAGGACATAGCCACAGCTATCCTCCACGCGTTTACCCAAACAAACAAAAGACCAACAATCTGAAATAAACCGTTTTCCCATGGAACTTGTACTTAGTAGTGGGCTTGATCCACGCGGTTCCAACGAGGCGGAAATAACTCTTCTGACACTCCTGCTTTACAGCGGTCTCGGAGGATGGCAACCGCAACCACACCAAATTAAAATACCACCCTTGAAGAAGCGGAAAGATTAAACAAGGTAAAAACGCAGAGACGGAAGACCTTATCCATGTAGTGAAGAATAATAAAAATTACTATAGTAATAAATTCCAGCAATTCTTGAAATTACTAGAAAAATGTTAATTTTATTATAAACAAATTAGTTTTAGGTAATATTCTCTTAAATAATTAATATTATGTAACAATAAAATACTGAAAACTTTCTTTTCAAACTTCCACAAAATTTATTTTAAATTTTTATCGCCACAGCTGTTTCTGCTGATTGCCTTTCTCAAGTGAAGAAAGGCAATCAGCCGAAACAGCTGTAGTGATAAGAATTTAAAATAAATTTTGTGGAAGTTTGAAAACAAAATTTTCAATGTTTTATTGTTACATAAAATGAATTTCCATCAAGTAACGGTCAAATCCATTAATTAATTAATATTAGTTTTCACTGTTAATATTTACCATCATATACATTTTAGATGGATATTGCAACGACCCTCCTCGAATATGGAGCCCAAGCTAACGCGGAAAGTAAAGCAGGCTTTACACCTCTTCATCTCAGTTCACAAGAAGGACACTCCGACATGTCGTCTTTACTGTTGGAACATCAAGCAGATGCGAACCATGCTGCCAAGGTAAGAGGTTAATAATAATAATAAATTGATACTGAAGACATGAGTTACCTTTGTTAACCATTTTTCATCCACTCCTGAATGTGTGTCTCTCCCAATTGTTTCCATCTTTCTCTATCTTGTACCAATCTAATCCACTGTTTGCCTGCCACTGCTCTTATGTCATCTACCAATTTTTTTTTGAGGTCTTGACAGTTTTATGACATGACCTAGATATACATAATATTCAACATGTTCTATGGTATGATTTTGTATTGTTATATTTGTCTGATGAGTCTGAAAATGAGTAGATGACCTAAGACCAGTGACAGGCAAACAGTGAATTAAAATGGCGAAAGATAAAGAAAGGTGGAAGCAATTGGGAGAGGCTAACATTCAGGAGTCGATGGAAAATGGTTGACGAAGAAGAAGATTATACAAGATATATTGCAGAAGACAGAGCAAATTCAAAAATAAAATAACATTCGTATTAGCTTCTGTATTTTAGTGTTGTGTCTTTAGTTGACGGCAAAAAAAAATAAATATACAGTAATTTTAAAAAGTTGTATCAATGTTTTTAATCTAGAATCTAATAACCTGCTTATCAACTCTCAATCAAACTAATGTATATTACATTTTGGTGGAGAAAAGTGCTGCCCACAAAAATCAAAAACGCATTTTTATTTGAAGTATCGATGAGAAAAATCTTAGAAATTAGCTAAAGCTTAAGGTATAGTCCTTAAGGGACTGGGACTGGAACGGTGGCATCACCATTGGCGGGAAGAAGATTTGCAACTTGAGATATGCAGATGATACTACTATCCTCGCTAGTTTCTGAAACTGAATTGATTCACCTTCTACAACGATAGAAGACGTAAGCTTAACGATGGGCCTTAAAATAAACAGGGATAAAACGAGAATCATGATAATTGACAGAGCTAACAACAAATCAAAATCATCTGTTAGGATAAACAATATCGCTGTTGTAGATAAATTTGTGTATCTGGCTCATTAATAACCAACAAAGGAGGCTGTACTGAAGAAATAAAGCGGCGGTCAGCAATCGCAAAAAGCGCTATGGCAAAATTAACAAAAATTTGGAAAAGCCATGAAATTACTACCGATACAAAAATGAGACTAGTAAGAAGTCTAGTTTTTCCAGTTTTTACTTATGCATCGGAATGCTGGACCCTTACTGAGAAAGACAAAAAGAACATAGATGTATTTGAGATGTACTGCTGGAGACGAATGCTGAGAATACCATGGGTGGCCCGAAGAACAAATGAATCCATACTGGTCCAGCTAAACATAAAGAAAAGACTAAGAACACAAATAACAGAACAGATAATAAGCTATTTTGGACATGTGCTTCGAAGAAATGGTCTTGAAAAACTTACCATCCAGGGAAAAGTAGAAGACAAAAGAAGTAGAGGTAGATCTCCTACACGATACACAGACCATATTGTTGCTACCATTTTCGCTCCATTGTCAGAATGTGCTAGATTGGCAGAAGATAGAAAAACGTGGAGGAACATTGGAAAAATTACCTAACAGCTTCATGATATCACGATACCTGCATCAGGTTAACGACTAAGAAGAAGAAGAAGAAGAAGAAGGTATAGTCGTTTCACTCAGCCTGGAATGGGCATATTTTTAGTCATTGTCTAAAACATACAACATAAAAATTCCTACCACCCTTATCAATAGCTGAAATAAACTTAATATTGAAAACTTCTTTAATTAAAAAGAAGAAGAAGAAGACTAATGAAAGCTATATTTATTAATCGCGATTAAATCTTCTTGTAGATTTGTATTTGTGAATATGTAATAATATATAAACGAGTAAAAAAATTAACTCTTTTTTTTAATTAATACTGTTTTATTTTGTTATGAAGGTGAATATTTCTTGAAATATTGGCAGGGTCACATGTGCTAGGTTGTATAGCAACTTCCAGGCAATTTTAGTCCAAATCAAAATTTGAGGAATGTAGCAAAAAATTAAGTATTTACTAAATTTCGTATTCTACAGTTTAGGCAGTTCTTAATATTGAAAATCAAACTTCTCTAAACTAGCGAAACTTTTTGCATTCTCTTAAAATTACCAAACTAAACCACCATATATTTCCAAATAACAATAATATCATTTTAATTTAGCAGTTCCATAATTTCTTAATTCTTTATTGACCCCATTAAGTAGGGGGTCTTCCAAAAATTGCACTCGCTAATTGTAAGCGGGTGCGGGTATATTTTACTTGGCTTCAGCAGAGTTGTCTCACTAGACGATCATGGACAGACTCAGCTCCCCAAGACAAGGATAAATTTCGAAGTACCTGTAACTATTATCCATAATTTTGTAGAATCAATGTAGGGAGAATTTAAGTAGTGCCACCTATTGGCCAAAAGCGAAGTCATGTTTACAGATTTCTTTATTAGTATTTGTTATAAAATTACAGGAATATTTGCGATGTAATATTCATTGATTTTATCAATAATGTAATTAATAAATTATTAATTTGGATTAAGCAACCAAATATTAATTTCTTTAAAACAAAAAAAAACCAAATTAAATTGGTATTTTAACAAATTTTAAAAATAAAAGAAAAGATTTTTTTAATTGATAATTACAGCAACTGTATAACATTTAAATTATTTTATGAAATATTTTCAAGGTGTAAAACATATTTAACAAATTGGACAGATATGGTTAATCAGTGCCTTATGCTATTGTTTAACTTGTAAGTCGAAGTGCAAAGTTGTGACTGATTATTTTACAAAACGAATTTATAAATGATTTTTGCACACTACTTGTGCAAATTTGTAGTAGTGTAACAGAAATAGGCCTTCTTCTTCTTCTGTACTTTGTCAGCTACGACAGTGATGTACCTATCATGACTTCGATTTTAACTTTATTTGCCACATTTCTGAATAATTCTACTACTTTATTTCATACAACTTTTGTAAGTTGTGGAGTCATGAATTGCTTCTTCGTCCAGGTCCGCATTTGCTGTGTGTTTTGCTTTGGACCATTCATTGCAGTAAACGGCATTTTAATTCTCTATCTGAGATCTCAGCTTTCTAAATTTCGGTTATTGTACAGAACACAGAATATTTAGTTACTTTCATTTTTAGTGAAAGAGATGTGCTACTGAGTGAGACTATATTTTCAATTCTACAGCGAATTTAGATTATTTGAGTTGATTTTGAGTAGACCACTTTATCAAGGTATACGTATAAATCCACATGTTGAATTAACTGGTTATTTATTATCAGCTTTTTGACTTGGTTGCTTATGAGCATCTACTTGGTTTTGTTTAGATTCAGTTTTTTTCACTATATACTTTTTTCACTAAATAGATATTCGAACCATTACCATGAAATGGTGTAGTGCTTCTATTCTGGTTCCAATTAAGATTTACTACAATTCCAATGTCTTTGTAGTATCAGCTAATTTTAGAATATTTTAATTAATTTTCATGCTTGCGTTGTCGAATGCTTCAGAATTACCTACAATGTAGACATCCTTGTTTCACTTCTTAGCACTGTTGGGTCCGTACTGCATTTATAATAAAAATAGTTTTGATGTTTTTTATAGTTTTCTGTTTTCTGTAAATGTGGATGTATATATTTTCTGTAGTTTCTCCTATCTTCTGATAGGAGAAATAAAGATTAGAAAAAAAACTTTTATCCATTAAAAAGAGTGTGGCTAATGTTTAAAAAATGGTAATTGCTACTATGTTTGAGACACATGTACGAATTTTTAGGAGTAGGTCATTGTTTAACACCGCAAGAATAAAAAAATCAAAGGGTATATGTCTAAAAAAAATTTTTTCAAAAAGTTATAGGATAAAACCTAAGTTAATTGTAAAAATTCTTGATTTTCTACACTTTTCTTTAATTTTGCAATAGCTGTACCACAAGTAAAAGTAATTTAACGACATATCTACAGTAACTTACCTAAAAACATAATATTTTATAAAGTAGTTTGTATAATTTGTAAAAGGCATTACAATACTATAATAGAATTCAAACATATCATTTTATTGTATGATTCTATCTTAATTATATTATGATTTATAGTAATTATATTACATGGAGTCTTTTTAACATTTTTCTTAGTTATTATTTGTCCATATTTTTTCATTATTCTTAGTAATTTCGTAAGCACTCAGAATCCCCATAAAATGACTCACAATTCACTTTTCCTAAATTCTTATTCAGATAATAAAATGCCCCCGTATGCATGGATACTTGTTTTTTGGCTCCGAAGTGCGCACTATGTATCTCTTCTGAATATTAACAAATATAGTTGAAAGAAAAATGTTTACCTATTTCAATCATTAACACGAAAGTTTTTAAACTAATTATGCTTCTTTTTATAATTTTAATTAGGAATTTCTACGAAGTGAACTCCGACAGCATCCAAAACATTTCTTTTTTTTTCTAATAATTCAATCAGTCCAGTTACCAGAACATTATTCATATTGTTTTGCATTACTTATGCTTAACTTTTTTACTTATGCTTAACTTTTTTAGACATGTACCCTTTGATTTTTTTTATTCTTATGTTAAAATAATCTACCCACAAAATTTCGTAAATGTGCCTTAAAAACTGTAGAATTATCAAAATTTTGAGAATTTTCTATATGAAGAACAAAACATGCTTCTATTACTTAGAAAGTGTCATAATGTTCATTACTATTTTTTTTTAATAAAATGAATAGTAGGAGCTTTTAACTTTGGCAACAGTATTTTTTTTATATAAGTTACTGTTTCATAAATATTAGTACAACATTTTTATTAAACACCTGATAGTCCTTAAAATTGTGTCGTGTGTCCTTGAAAGAAAAGATCCAGTTTCTTGAAACTGGGTAGGAACATTATGTTCTTGGTCTAAGGACAAACCTTATTTAACTTGGGTTCAATAGAATAAAAATCTGTTGAAAGTTACAGATAGTTTCCATTAAGGAGAAGTAGATTTTTAAAATTTTGTATTGTTTTGGTAAAAAACTTACTATAATTTGCAGATAATCAAAACTGAACTTATCCCGTTTAAAGGGATCCACAACCAATAATATTTTGTATGGCGTCAGTATTCATTTATCAACCTGTAATTGCTCACGTTTAATAGTACTTATATTAAAACACATAAAAAAAATAATGTGTATAGTTCGTAGATCACCCTTAAATAAAATACATCCTGAGTCCCCAGGGTAAACTAAAAGTTATATGATAAGAATAAAACAATTACCTTAAAAAATCTAAACAATTTATTCATAAAAATCTAATTTAATATTTTTAAGGATCCCTGAAAAGAGCATCGAATTCTAACATAACTTGTATCAAACACTTGGACCGAAAAATCAACATAATCTTTTCAAACTTATGCCATATAATTTGACTAAGGAATACATTTTGAAACTTACTTTAAGAATGATGAATTAATTTTTTCTATTAGTTTATATAAGCTTCCTTTGATAATAAAACTTCATAGATTTTGGTCCACAAACTTTTTTACTAATACCAATGTTTTTTTTAGAATGGACTCACACCTGTTCACTTATGTGCTCAAGAAGATCGGGTAGCTGTTGCTCAACTCTTGCTAAGAGCAGGAGCTCAAAAGGATGCACAAACCAAACAAGGATATACACCCCTCCATGTGGCTTGCCATCACGGTCACGTCAACATGGTTCGTCTTCTCATTGATCAAGGTGCAGACGTCAATCCTACCACGGTCGCAGGATACACTCCCCTTCATCAAGCCGCTCAGCAGGGTCATGTGCTGGTTATAACGTTGTTGTTGAAAAATAAAGCTGATCCTAACGCTCTTACAAACGTAAGTACATTAATTTAATCTGATTTCAATTTGTTGGTTGTGTATAGTAAAGGGAAGGGACAATGAATTGTGATACTGATATGATAATATAAATTTGTAATAAAGAAAGTAATGAAATTGAAACTGAAATTAATTGTAATAAAAATGGAATAAAGTAGGAAAAATGTCTTTATAAGTTCTAAAAATAGTTGTACAATCCTCAATTCAAATCATTTCTCGACACCGGACAGGACAAACTAGTATTAACCAGTTTGTATTAAAAATCACTGCCAATAATTTATATTTCATTGGAACATAGTAGTACCGTTCGAGTCATAAAAAACTGGTACAACTCTTATAACTGAAAATCGCGTTTTCCAAGTGATAAGTTGATCTTGTCACATATGTCATTCTAATTTCTATGGCAACGTTGGCAGTTGAACGAAATATATCAAATCAGCTAAAGTGACGTTTTTAAAATTTCTCTATGTGCGTGTACTTGGTGATCGAAATGTACACTGGAGGTTATATTATTATCATTTTATAATTGATACATTTTGTAAATATACTATATAATTTTGGTTGGCTTGGCTTTATACTCTTTATTCATAATGCTATAGCAATAAAGATTTAAGCTTTATTGAAATTAAAGCTAAAAGAACGCAACATTTAAAAATCTGTAAAATGTCACACATAATCGTCATCGTCATCATTTTAGTATTTAGAATGGAAAGTTTTTAATTAAAATTAATAAATAACCAATAACACAATTATAGTGTTTTTTCAATTATAGAAGTCAAATTTTAAAGTTCAAATTTGTTGCAGGTTATTTCTATTAATAATAGATTGTATAAATTTTTATGTTTACCTTTCGGACACTGTCTCTGTCAAAATATTACCAAGCTCTTTGATTATACCTCATATTTGTTAAACGATACACTTATGCCTGACCATTAATATGTATGGTTTGTATCATGATACTGACTACAATGTCACATATTGTAAAGTTACCTGTAAAATTATCACTGACATTTTGTCATTATGTCAACGTTTGTCAATCCTTGGGTTTTTGGAAATTATATCGGTTTGTTATCTAAGAAAATAAAAACGTTTAATACGATTAATTAATTCGGTTTGTTATTTAAAAAATAACGTTTAATACCATTGTAAGGGGATAAATCCTTGCTGAAAAGCCTGTGGTAGGTCTATAGGTTCCTTTGAATAAAATATCAGAGAAATGAAAAACAATTTTTGGTGATAGAATAAATCTTGTAATATAATTACAATCAAATATATTCAAAAATCAAAACTAATAAAGTTCTTAATTCAACATTTAATTTTTTTACCCAACAAACTGTTTTATTAATTTTCATTTCAATGGAATTGAACAATTAGATAAATATATGTTCGAACAACTATTATTATTTTAACAATCAAATTAAACTTATATTCTGTAAACATATTGAAAAATTATCTCAAAAAATTATGTATTTATATAATTAGAAAGACTATTTGGTTCAAATAAATTTTATTATAGACCATTCGCTCAGCTTGGGAATATTTTGACAGATTCATTGTCGGACACATACAACCATCGAGCAATAAGACAAAAGAGGGAATCTAATCGTTATAAAAAGGAGACCAAAAAAGTGGCCTCTGATGGCGGACACATCCGGAAATGCAAAGGCGCTAAATTTAAATTTTCCAACACTTGTTAACAATAGCTGTAAAATATTTTTCAGACAAGAAAGTTTGAATTAAATATTAACGATAATAGTCTAAAAATTGACTCAATTGGTAAAAAACTTCAATATAAATAAAATTTCATGTGACAGTTGGGACAAACAATAACATAACCAAACTAAATTTGACTTCTTAAACAAGGATAGAGACTGTCTATCCTTGTCTAAAGTGCCTCTCAAGATGGCACTCTCCTGTCTATCAATATGTTTACCCCTTCTACCTTTACATTCCCTCTTTTGTCTTATTGCTCGATGCATACAACACATAAATTCTTACCTGTTATTATGAATATGATAAACTTAAGTTGCACCCTTGTTTCATTGAAAAAAAAAATAAGAACAATTATAATTAATGGAAGTGTATATTCATTAATCTTCAATAAACTTTCCATTTGTATATACTAATCTATAAATGACTTTATAATTAGCATTTAATTGATGCAGTTTTATTTTGTGAATTAATGAAATGAATATTAGTTTATTTAAATATTGTCTATAAGCACGTATATAGGCTTAGGTGTATTTTCAGCCATTGATAATCGGTCAAAATCTAAGCAATGCAATGTAGTAAAAAATAATTACTAAATTTAGTAGACTGTTGGCACTGATATCAGCGAACCACTAATTTAGTAGACTGTTGGCACTGATATCAGCGAACCGAGTACTATAAGAAAAAAAAATGTTAAGAACATAACCTCAAATAAGCAGTTTAGCATCAGTTTGCAAGTTCTGACAGATTTTTAATACGAATAGTTTTCTGATAATTGTTTTTGTAAATATATGGTTATTTTTTTTGGCAAGGGCGGTTTTTTGTAGGAGACTAGAATTGTAAAACAAATAAATTTGGAGAAGAAATTTGTTAATTTTTTGACATCATATTAGTACCATTAATTCTTGACGTTATAAAATTTATTACTTTCATCATGGTATGTTTTAATACAAGTATACATTATATTATCTATTATTTATATTTGCATAGTTAAGAAATGATCAGGAGTCCTTTACCTAACTGTATTTTTTCTTTCAGAATGGCCAAACGGCTTTAGGCATAGCCAACAAACTCGGTTACATCAGCGTCGTTGAAGAACTAAAAGTGGTAACGGAAACCAATATTACGACCTCCACTACGATTAACATTGAAGAGAAATACAAAGTTGTGGCTCCAGAAGCTATGCAGGAAACTTTCATGTCGGATTCCGAGGATGAAGGAGGTTTGTATCCATTTTACAAATATTTGTATAGGGTAACGATAAATTTAAAATGAGTTCTAGAGTGGTGTCAAAAGTTAAATAAATGTTAATATTAATGATTGTCGAGTATTATGAAAGATGGTGATTTATCTTTTTGATGTTTTTTAAATATAAGATGACTTCTTCGTGGATACTGAATAAATTGTGGGTTTCTGAAAATTTTGCTCTTAAAGTTGTGAGTGGTTTGTTATTTCTAGTTAGTAATGGCAACGAGTTTTTCTTCTTTTTCGAATTTATTAAAAAATATATGTAATAATAATAATTATCTAATTTTCTATCTAATCTTAATAAGTTTGACTGTACTGTACCTAAGGCATAGCATATAATTAGTGAAGCAATAGATAAAAAATAATCATTTCTAGAATTAAGAATATACAAATAGGATCCATTGAACTTTCCTGAAGACTGCTCAATAAAAATATTTTATATACCCTAAAACATGGTAAAGATCCACAGCTGAACACCAGCTACAGACACGAGATACTTGTCCTATCATTGTGAGTAGGTGAAACTCTAGAAGCAACTAGGATTTGATCACATGAATCACAAAGAAAAATACCCAAATTCCAATGTGGATTTGTGAAATATGTAAGTTTTGCTAGTGAGTAAAAACCATAGCAATACTAATTAACGCGACCACAGGAGCTTGGATCAGGGCCATAGTAAAAACGTCAAAACCCAACTGGTAAGAATTATAGAAGTCATCACTATATGCATGAGATTTACAACAAATAAACATACCAAGTATATATTAAAATGTTTTGTTAAAGAAAATTACTATAGGAAGTACATTATAAGAACTTTAGACACAATATAATGATGAACAAGCACACTGGAGAAATATATCAGCACCAGATATAATAGAAAGAATATACACTTTTTTAAAGTGCATGGGAATAGAGGTCCAGGACGAAGAACATACGTGTCTTGGCTGCATAACCTGCGAAAATGGTTTATCTTAACCACTATCGGACTTTTCAGGGCAGTAGTCAACAAAGTTAGAATAGCCATGTTAGTGTCCAACATCCGTAATGGATAGGCACCATAAGAAGAAGACCCTTTTTTATCTTGATAATATTTTATAAAAAAGGCACAAAGTGATGATTGTTATAGACATAGTTATAAACTACAAGCAAAAACGAAATGAGATGGGTAAACTCTCAACCAGACAAAGCAAATATGTGAAAAAATGACAAAACTATAAAAAATTATTGAAAAAGAAAATACTTTATAGAAAATACATACAGTATTTTGAGAACGATTTCCGAAGTGGAAAATTGAAACGTCAATAAACGTATTTTTATCTTTAATTGTGGCTTATTCCCAGTTAAATAGTAATTAATTTAAAATGCAACAAGAACATAGCTTCAGAACAATATTAAAAAAATTATGTAAGAAAAACTTTATTTCACTTTTGACAACTTACTTAACTTTATTTTACTCGAATGATATAATACCGTTAACTTCTGTTTTGGTTAATCTAATAAACAGTTAACAACGTTTTGTTGAATTAACTATTTCTGTTTTTGGTGTGTCGTAGGTAGGCTTGGAAAAATGCAAATGCAATAAAAGTGTATATAAGACTATCAGTGCTTAATCAAATATCCTAAAAAATTAATTTATAATACGTAAAATCGTAGGCTTCCACGGCCAGAGTCAGAATTATAGTTTATTCGTCTTCCGGGTTTGGACCGTGTCATTTGTGAGTGACCCAAAAGGTCATTTGTGAGTGATCCAAGAGGCGGATTCACTCCCCGCCTCTCGACGCGTTAGTGTTCTGAGCTGTTGGACGTGAATCCCTGTCCTGGCATTTGGTTTTCACCTCTGGCTGCGTTAAGTAGTTGAGTTACTGTGACCAAATGCCCATCTTGGTAGTTAGTATTCGCCTCTGGTTGCGTTGAGTAACTGAGTTACCGTTGCTAACTACCCATCTTCCTGTCCTTCGATTTCTTTTTCTTTTTTCTTTTTCTTTGTTCTCCTGAAGAAGCTACATACAATTGTAGCGAAACGTCGAGATGAACCCACTTTTGGGTCACTCACAAATGACACGGTCCAAACCCGGAAGACGAATAAACTATAATTATAATACGTAGTTTATCTAAGTTAACCATAGTTCTAGTGATTAATATAGCTTTAACTTATTTTTTGGTAAATTTATTTGGTACAATGTTGACAGATGTCTTGTGGAATTTGGTGTCCTCAACTATTTCGATATATTTTTTTAACATCGCAAGTTTAATATCACATAAACTTTTGGTTATCAAATATTAGGATGGTTTCTTATGTATAGTTGCCTTTTTCTTCTTTAGTAAATTAATTTTCATTAATAGTATTTTACCTACAGGATTTTTTTAACTAAAATATTTAAAATTACGTTCTCAAGTTCTTTATTTATTACTCCTTTATTTCTGAGATATGTTGGGATATCTTAATTTATGTTTTATGTTAGTTAATTCTTTCTAATAACACATAACATTTATTGATCTGCAAAAAGCCTACTATACTTATACTTGTATAATGGATCAACCTCTCTAATTAAAATGGGCAACACTGTATCACCTGGATTTGCTGTGACGAAAGCGCTAAAATTGAAACGTGTCGATGAGCAGAGAAAAATCGAAAAAAGATACAAACCACGAGAATTGATGTAATAAGACGAACGCTATGGATTTCGAGAAGAAACAGGATAAGAAATCGAGGACCACATGAGAATAGAAGGTACAATAGTGAATGACATGCAAGTCAAGACTTTAGGCCTGTATGATTTTGTTATGTGCAATCTGTTTTCCTGATTTGGGAATAAACGCCACCCTCGCTCTTCCCCAAGCTTGGGAATGTATCCCAGAACATAGCTAGCTCTAAATATTGCATCCAGAGGAACCATGATTTTCCTTAGTCTTTGAAGTGGCCTGGGAAATATGCCATCCGGTCCGGCAGCTTTGTATGGTTTAAAAATTTCAATATCCGATCTGATCTTGTGAGAACCAAATATCACTTTAGAGGTCAGTCAGTCACTTCCGGTTGAGCTCAGGTTTGCTTGATGAGTTTTATAACTAGTCAATTGTGTCGACCCTGAGAATGCTCTGCAGCCTCCTTCTCTTTAGGAGTTATCTCTGAGTATTTTGTCACCCTGGCACTTTCAAGTATACTTTCAATGTTTTCCCAGAATTTTCTCGAGGATCTTTCCTCAGCTGATAGGATTGTCTTATTATAGGTTTTTAGTTTAGCCCTATATGCTTCCCAATTACCTGACTTCTTCGCCGTATTAGAGAGTTGTCTTGTTTCTCTTCTGAGATCAGACAGCCCCTTATTCCACCAAGCTACTTGTCTGTCTCCAGTCCTCAAAGAACATAGGCTTAGGTTAATCAGTGATTCTGCTTTTGATGTCCTGAAGGTGGGTTTATTACCTCTGTTCCGAAAATCAAGTTTAGTAGTGGAAAGATAATCAACAAGTAACTTACCTCTATTGTTTATATCTTTGCTACCCCAAATCATAGTTGGGCGTTGAAGTCGATTCATATAATAAGCTCTGTGCGCTTAATTTTGGTATATTGTAGAAGGTTCTCTAAGTTAGTCTCTGGAAGTTATTCCTTACAATCAATAGGAAAGTAAAGCGACGCAACAATCATCACTATCACCAACCCATTGTAATTAAGTCTAATTCTGACAGCTGTCATGTGTCCCCTATAGAGCTCCATAATTGGTATCAGCTTAAGGTCACACCTACAAAAGATACAAGTTCTTATTTTAGTGTCTGATACTCCCAAAATTAGTTCACATCTCATAACATTTAGTCTGCGAATCTTACCTTTATTTATCCACTGTTCTTGCATAAGCACCGTGTCAATGTTCTTCCGAGCTATTTGGGATATTTGCAGACAGACGACTAAAGTTAAACGGTATTGCCGAAGATTTTAATAATACTATATATTTGGTTAGAATATTAATAGAAAATATATGGCAGAGTAGTCTTTACAGAAAAAGATTTTAGACATGGATGAAAACGTTTTCAATAATACAAATATCTAATTAAAGACGACGGAAAATATGATAACGACAGGACAAACATATTGGGAACATAGATAAAAGGACAAACCATTAAAAGTCACTTAAATCCATTATATGCGATAAAAACATACAAAAGGAACAACTCGACCCATATTTAGAATCTTGGACTATAACTTGTAACTCAGAAGTATTGGTAGTAACATTGGTAGTACATTCTAAAACCAATAACCGTAGTGGAAAACAGTTTTTACGAAGATACTGTTGATACACGTTACATGATAAAACAAGAACTACTGAAAAATTTTTTTTAATGTAAAGACATTTTTTTAATTTTAATTAACCACATCAAATTAATCAATCAAATAAATACATTAGCAAATAATTGAAAAAATTTGAAATTGATTCCCAAGTGACGAAAAAAAAAGGAAGACCAAAATCATATTGTTGGTACCGACAAAGACAAAGAGAAGATTATAAAAATAAACTACTACTTTCCTTTTCAAATTAAATATTCTGCAATGCCTGAAGTACTTCTGCAATTCATGTAATAATGTCATTATTCAGAGGATGTGTGGTGATGATGATCTTGATTATTATTTAGCTTGTAACCTTTTATTATTAGTCAGTGAATATTTAAGATAAAAAAATGACCAATGAAAGTAGGATATTTGATTAATTACTACCTAGAAGCTACGCCTATTTTACACAAACTGTATCAACTATTTTTATGGTTTGGGAGACAAACTAATTTCAAAGATGACAAAGATTAGTTAATGAGATTTTTTAACATGTTTTAAGAGTTTTAACTGATTATGGAAATCCAACTCTTAACAGGCATATACAAATATCCATTGTATCAATTCTGTAATCCAACGCAACTGTACTTTTTCTATTATTTTTTGATATTGACTGACTTTAGCCTACTTCAGTGTGTCAGAACTTTTTCAAAAAATTAAGTAAAAAAGTAAACTAAAGAAAATTTATGTATATAAACAACATGTTAAATGTGTCGATCTAGGAATAGAATCTGCTTTTTCTTTCGTGGAATAGCTCTGTGGTATTGGTCAATCAACATAAGATACCGCAGAAAACTGATTGATTTTGCAATGTTCTGATTAGTGAAACATATTATTCTTCTTCCAGTGGTGCTACAACTGAACTTGGGATTTGGTCTTTTATAATTTAAACCTCTAACCATTTCTTTTTTAGTTTTTCTGTGGCTTCGTTTTTTTCTTTAGCCTTTCATTTTATTGCCTATGGCTTTTTTTATCCGTCATCCATCCTCACTACATAACCAGTTCATCGAAGTCTCAGAGTTAGGCCGCGATAATTCTCTTTGAAGTTATACTGCGATAATTTTCACGTTTCACATTATCCTATTTTTTACAAAATTGGGTAAATGTTCACTGTTTTCCAGTCGCTAGGAATTTTCTTTTTATTTCAAGCTTAGCTTCCTAATTTGAACAGCCACACAGAAGATGTAAACGCTTAGTTTGTTTACGCCCATCTTGCTTGTTTGCATTCTTCAAGTGTTATATCGTCATCCCGTCCTTTCATATGCGCCAGTCCAGAGGCTACTCATTTCTTGTTTACCTTGATCCCTAAGATAAATAGACGAAGAGTCCGGTATACTCTATACTCTATACAATCAGCAGCAAAGTTATCTAGGAGCAAGAAAGAAAATTAACTAGCGGTCCCAATATGTACTTAAACCATAAATTGTTTTGATAATCCGTCCTTAAAACCAATTGTTTATACAACTCCAAAAGAAATCATTAACTAGTAGATAAAACTACATATCCCTAGAACTGCCTTTCTTTGAATTCCTCCAATTTTGGAGACAATTTTTATGATCTTAAAAACCTGTATTCATGCCTGGATAGAAGAGTAGGCACCCCATAGAAGGATTTGGAGTACACCACCTAGCATTTCAATTGCCTGGCACTTGAACCTGTGAACAAGTTGAAGCGATACCAACAAATATGTTGCTCCTGTAGAGACAAAACCTTTCCTGAATACAGAATAAAATAAATGTATCTATTCACCATAAATTCTTATTTTAAAGCGCCCAAAGGGATTTATAGTGTGCAAAGGTATAAGAATGCAGTCAAAAGAAAATAACAATGTCAGTTTTTTTTTTTATTTTTTGACAGATCTGCTGTTCCTTTTCTGGATACAGAATAAAAAAGTGCCTTATAAAAGGAAAATTCTATGTGGTTGACTGTATACCATATTTAACAAAAACAATATAGATCTACCATAGGAGTGTATTTATCCACTATCAATTCCTTGTGTCCAAAGGAATTTATAGTGTTTAAAACTTTAAGAAACCTCTCAAAGAAAAATAAAAGTGTGGATTTCTGCATCAGTCGAAATAAACCTTTACAACATGTTAAAATATCAAAATTTTCTAACTGGTCGAATCTAAATGATATCTCTTTGCCTCCTAGACAATTAATCTAGTTTTATTTTTGTTTTTATTTGCGTTTTTCTATATAGCGTATAGCAGCTTGTTGGCTAAGTATTTATTGTCACATATTCACGATCTGTGTATTGAGTAATTTGAGTAATATTTTTAGACTTTTCATTAACAAATTTTAACACGTTATATTTAGATTAAAATATGATTTTTAATTTCTCATACTAAAAACTTAAACTATATGGAATATACATTGATTAAGCACAATGAATTTTATCTATAACAATTTCTGAATATAACCAAAAATAAAGATATTTTTTAATCTAATTAAATATAAAATACGCTGGCAGTTTTGGATAGTTTTAGTTAAAATATCTTTCTGTAGCTATATTTACTATTTGAAAAGTTTGTTAAGCTTGCTCCAGCCATTTTTCATGAGTTGATATTCCTGTCATCTTCAAACAACTCTGATATATACAGCTGCCATTCTTTTCTTTTCAGAAAAGAATGGCCGCTTTTTTTGGTATTTGGTATTCTAGTTATTTTTTTGTTTGGCACCTTTTTTCTATTTTTTTTTGTACTTCGTGGTGGAAAATCCTTATCTCTTCCTTTTGAGATGTTTATCATCCATTATCTTCTGATGTTAGTTGGTCTATTTATGCTGTAACTGTATCATATTTTCTTTTCTGTGTTGTTCCTGTGTTTTACGTAACTTTATTTCCTTTTCCTATTTATCTTTTTTTGTTTAGTCACCGATTTGCATTAGAGTTAATAATTTTTTTAGAGTTTTAATGATGTTGGCATCATTGAATTGTACTGGAAAAACTTTGTGTCCCATTTATTAATTACATCCACTGATATTTATGTAGAAATGTTCCTATCCACTTTATATATCTAAGCTTATTGTATCTTTTGACATTTAAATTAAAATTATATATAGTTGTATTTTGGTCTCTGTTCCTTTATCTATTCTTTTAGAAGTATTTTTGTTCCATATCATTATTCATTATCATCATTAGTGATCCCTGGCCTGCCTCAAAACATTCTTGCATCCTTCCATGTCTAGTGTTTGTCTTCTCCATCCTCTTAATCCAATCTGCTTTAAATTGTGCTGCACATCTATCCCACCTATCTTGGCGCTTTATGTTGATGGTTTTTACAATATCTGCATCACCAAAAGGTCCGAAATTATATCGACTTCTCTACAGAGCCTGTTCGTTAACTCCTATATATAATGATTGCTAACATTAAATATGATAATAAGATATTTTAATTAAAAACTATTCATACTGTACCCTTTAAATCACTTAGAGTTGATCAACAATAAAATTAATTCATACATTTTGGCCATAACGTAACAACCGTGAAGTGTTGTTGAATAAGTATAAGATAAATAAACAAAAATAAGCGCGTGTCCGCTAAGGGTGGTGGTTGATTGCATGCAGGCGGAGTGGACGAGCATCCAGTTGCTTATGGCCGACCGACGCATGCTCAGCACATCTATCTACCCTTCTACCAAGGACACATGACCTATACACGTAAGTCCCAATATTACTCTCAATGTTCTCTGTTCTCTTTCCTTCGATGTTTAATTTAAATAGGTGTCATTTTTAGCATGAAAACGCCCGAGTAAGTCATAACATCGTTCAATGTTTGATGGTTTAGTAGTTAGTAAACGACAATGATAATAAACAAATCTAAGTTACATTTTTTAATAGTTAGATATAAAAAAATACGTTTAAATGAAACAAAAAATGAAAAGAGATAAATAAATTTAAGAATTTGAGATCTGCTGAGAAATCTGCTGTATAGAAAAAAAAAAAGTTGAACCACTCTAATAAAATATTGATAAACAACTAACTATAGATATAGTCTAACTATAGATATGCTCCACATTTTAAGTAAGTAACGCACCTAAAAATGAATCTTAAGAACACGAAATTATTAATCGTTGCAAACGTAGAGATAGCTACTCACAATCAAAATTAAATTTTTATTGTTGGTAACAATATCCAATTTTTGTGATCTACAATATATACTCTTGAGGCCCAGTAGTAAAAACTTTACAGGATATCAGCACAAGAACACATATATATTAAGATTATTTGACAACAAAACAACCCTCATTGGTGGGATAACTGTTCAACACTTCAACTTCAATAAATCTTACCAAAGAAGGTAGTTTTCTCTAGAGAATTGGGATTTTCTTAAACACTCTTAACATACATGTATTTTTGTTCACATAATTACGCAACCAATCTAGAAATGCCACAAACACAACCTAGAACTCCACAACCTCTTCGTAGACTTCAGACAAGCCTTTGACTGCATTGTAAGTATATCGGCAAAGGTAATCAGATTAATAAAAATGACTATGGGTGGATCCCGAGCTAAAAAAATAACAACAGTAAAAGGTAGCACAAACACAATTGCAATAGAGACAGTAGTGCGCCAAGGTGATTCCATGTCAACCACACTACAACATGCAGAAGAAGATCAAGGTCAGCGAGATTAAGGAAACTATAGCCCATTCTTCAACGTAAATAGTAGCATATGCAGATGACATAGCTCCTATGGGAAGAGATAAGGAAAGATTCAAAGAAGCAATAAAAATTCTGATAAATGAAGCACAGAAAAGAGGTCTGCAGATTAACGAAGGAAAACAAAATATTTAATTTGTTCTAGAAGAGAAGATAACAAGACGAGAGAAATCAAGATAGTAAAACACACTTTTGAAAGAGTTCAACAGTTTAAGTACTTGGGTGTAATTGTGAATGGAAAAACAATAGAAGTGATGAAGTAACCAAGCCCATACCATCAGGCAACAAAACATACTGATAGAGATACCATAAGCTAATGAAAGACAAAACTGAAAATATACAAAGTTGCAATCCGACCATTAGATACATACGGAGCTGAGATAGTGTGCCTCGCAGATATACCTAGATGAAAGATTAAGAATATTTGAAAGTAAAATAATCAACAGAATTATGGAAACTGAGAAATGAGAAGAAAAATGAACCATAAAATAGGAGACGTAATGAAGGGACCAGATATAGTTAAATTTATTAAAACACGGAGATTGAGACGGCTGAGTAACATATAGAGAAGGAAAACGATATAATAATTAAGAAGGTCATCAGACAGAAGCCAGAAACTGAAAGACCAATGGCAAAATCTAGAGAGAGATGGTCATGATAGATATCAAAATTCTGAAAGTGAAACACTGGAGACATCTAGACAAATATTGTAACGAAACCTAAGTCATAACAAACTTTGACAATACACAAGAATATATACATGCATTACGTGATTAATCGCAATAAGCGAATGAAAATAAGAGCGCAAACACTCAACGATAAAGGAGGAGATATCAGGGCAGATGCAAATAGCCAAACTAGATAACAAACAGAAGAAGAGATGTTTTCTCTTCCTGTTGTAACTTAGACATCCTAGTATATGAAACCAAATAATGTAACTCAAATTTAATTTAACAACATTTGAAGGGTTTTTACCCAAGTATTTAATGGCTCAAAACATGTACATCCAGATAAAACTGATGATGGAATATTAATTCCGAAAACGTTCTGTGATGTAGCCCGATAGGGTGTTTTTAATATATATATATATATATATATATATATATATATATATATATCCGGTTTTTTAGGCGTTACGCCCGTCCGGTAGGGATCTATGGAGGAGTATCACCGAGCCGCAAGCCCTTATCTCTTGCCGTACTGCTCCACCATAGGCTGATCAGATCCCAGCATATCCTAGTCCAGATTAATCTTGAATTTTAAACTGCTGCGTTAGACTTTTTGTTTTTTGTACACCGAGCTGGGGCTCAATCCCACATCCACTGAACCATTCGACTGTTTTTAATATATACCTTTTATAAAGAAATTTTTAAATAATTTTTTTGTGATACATGGTACAGAAATTTAGTTTCCTTGTGGATATCAACAGATTGACCGCAAATGATATGGAACCAGCCATTGAGTGAGAATAGTGAATAAAAAATTTCTCGCAACCAATAAAGGTAAAGGTCGTGGCGTATTATCATACACGTTACGTTTCCAACACGTAGCGTTTAATTTCCGAACAATATAATTTAATTGGTTTTAAATATGAACAATTCACACTATCTGGAACGAATCGTATCATACACCTTATGTATCCGTTCAGTATATTCGAAAACAATATTTTACAGATGCTGACAGCCACGGAACGAGTCGAAACCTGTTGGTACGGATAATGAGAATTAGGGGTCTGTCATTTTTAGGGTCCGTCGTTTTCTCCTCGTTGTTTATTTAGATATTTTGATTTTGATACAGAATATTTAAAAAATAATTTTCGAGGCTATTTTGTCATTTATGCATGTGTTGTTTTCATTGCTTTGTGGCAATTAATCACGGAACTGATAAACAATTAGGACTTTTGCATGGAAATGATACTTCTTTTTTTTAAATACTCTTTGGTTTGATATTTATGACTTCGTTACATGTAGTATTTTGTTTTTTAACTAAAGGTGTAATTAAATTTAAAATATATTTAAACTGAATCCTATTCATTCTAAAATATCCATAATATTCTTCATCATCAATTAATTCTTTGTATAAAGTCCAGTATTCGCCTTCCTTTTTCCTTTCTCTTAGCATTGGATGTACTTCAAACCTTCATTTTACTACAGTTTTTACATTTAAGTAGAAGAGCAATTGCACATAATTTTTGTCGCCAAAAGCGAGATCCCACCTTCACCGAACCAAACTGAAAGGTTCTATGTATGAAAAATGTGAACGTGCAGTCCAATTGCTGAACTGGAAACGCTACGTGCCGGAAACTATACGTGCATGATAATATTCCGCGATCTTAAAAATACAACTAACAGGATGAAAGTTGATGATACAACAAATAGTTTTCAAGTCGAATGTCAAGAAACAAAGTTAGAAAACATTAGAGCGATTGGAAACAGAAGGGGAAAAAGAAAACTTTAGTTTATATCTGAATAAACATTAATTAAAATGTCCAAATATAGATATTCTATGTAGGCAATACTCAAGAAACTAACTTAAAACTGAATTTAGAAAAGACTATTCTATACAAACCTCTGCTGAACGTTTTTAGTTCATAGTATCTTTCAGTAGTCGACTTTAGTTCATAAAAATTATTTCTCAGCACGTTGCAATAGCCAGGTATTTGACTATTTACAGTGGTGAGTGCTTTATCACCCGGCTTTTTAACGTGAGAGATAGAAAACACAGATACCTTGTGAAATAAAAAGAGATGAAACTCGTAGAGGTGGGAAATAATCGATAGAAACCTATAATTTACATTACATTGCATTAACACTATCGATAGTCTCACACCTTTAGACGTTAGCTTCCAGCTAAATCACCTCGGTCATAATTATTATTTGTGACGTCGTCGTATGTGTAACGTATTTCAGTGAAATTTTTTAATTTCGCATAAAGTAAAAAATGATTGACCACAATAAAGCAAAAATGTGAATAAAATAAATTAATTAATAGTGATTATTTAATCTAAAGTTTTAAATTATTAACCAAAAATAATTTCTATGATTTAAGGAGTTTCATACACTCTTGTCACGGAAATAAACATCAGTCCTTCTTGGATTAGTGGTAAGAATTCGACACTGCGACGCAGACGATTAGAGTTAAAAACCCATATGTGGTTTTCTTTTTTTTTTTTTTAATAATTTGAAATTATGCAGAGATCGTTTTGATTTGAATCACTAAACATTTATGTCAGTCGTTACTAGTATTAGAAGTGTTTAAAGTTACACATAAATATCTTTTTGAATTTGAATTATTTTGTATTTCCGTTTTATAACATTGGAATAAGAGTAAATTGTAAATAATGAGTTTTTCGAAAACTTGTTACCTAATATGTATAATATTTTTTATTATTTTTTGATTGAGTAAAACAAAAATTTTATCCTTGGTGGGAATTGAACCCCAATCTTCTTTTCAATAGACCACGTGTCTAATAATTACACCAACTGCACATACAATAAACGTTTTCGGACAGAACATATCTATCTTTAGTTTAGTCAAATATTTCAGTTGAGTTATTTTTATTATAAAAAAGATTTATAATTTAAAATAAAGATTTATAATTTAAAATCGCTACTAATTAATGTTTTTTACTTTAATTCTTAATTTATTCAATCATTTATTCTTACATCAGAAATTATTAAAATAAAATATTTTCGCGGTCATTCGTATAATTATGACTGAAGTCAAATAGCCACGTCTAAGAACTAGCTTTATCTCATTCTTTCTCACAAAATCCATCTTCTATCCTTTTTTGGCTATCCAGCTATTTTGCCGGGTTTTAAAGCGACTTTAAACACTTCTAATACTATAATAACGTCTAAAGGTGTGGGACTATCGACGGTGCTAATGTAATGTAATGTAAATTATAGGTTTCTATCGATTATTCCCCACCTTTACGAGTTTCATCTCTTTTTATTTCACAAGGTAACTGTGTTTTCTATCTCTTACTAAAGCTAAAA